CTTCCATCCAACCCGGTGGGGACGCCATCAGCTCTTCCTCCCAGAAGCCTTCCCTGACCACCAGCGGCTCTTCTCCCTTGCAGAGCCCTGAGAAGTGCGCTCATCCTGCCTGTCCCCGTCTGGAGGGAGAGCCGCGCTGTACCACAGAGCCTGGCTCGCCGCAGGCAGGCGAGATGCTCGGCTGACCAGTGAGTGAGGGCACTGAGGTGGGCGCTCACCTTTCCTACCCCGGCAGGTGGCGAGGCGAGGGCGCCACACCCCCTCTTTCTGCCCGACCGTCATCCTAGGAAGGTTAACTGAGCCTGCCCAGCCCAGGGCGGGCACCAGGATGTCGCGACGGGGGTTGCTGGCCGTCCCTGCGCAAGCCGCTGAGGTGGGGAAGCCGGTGAGCTGCACGGTCCGGCCCCTGGTGTCACTCACATTTCTGCGCTGGAAAGCACTTTCGTTCCCACCAGGGCAGCTCCGCCAGGTGTCAAAATAGAAACAGCAAGGGGATTCCTGGAAAGCTTTGGTGTGTATCAAACTTGAAATCTGCAAAGAAACATCAGGAAAACTGCCAGAAGGGGGAAACACCTCCCAAAACCAGGAGGGAGTGTGGGGGAGTGAGGAGGGAGCTCAGCTCTAGTTGGGGAGCAAGGCTGCACCTTTGTCACCCACCACAGAGGTGGGCACAGAAAGGCAGCCCTGAATGGAGGCCTTGGGGGCCTTTCAGGAGGGGGGGTTGAAGATTGCTGGCCTGCTGGGCGTTGGAGCTCCTCTTTCCCTGGGACTGGGGTGCCCCTCCAGAGGCCGCAGAAGTCTCACAGAGGCTGGGCCTCAAATCTGGGCACTTCCTCCTGTAGATGTAGAACCCTGGGCAAATAGGGTAATCACTTTTTAAAAATATTTATTTATTGGGCCCTCCCTTGTGGCGCAGCGGGTTAAAGCACAGCACTGAGAAACTAAAGCCACCTCTGCATGAGTTTGATTCCCGCCTGCCCTGGAGGTGACCACATGGCGCGGCAGACCTCTCCTGACCCGCCCGCTGCTCCCCTCAGCAGTGTACTTCGTCGATCTGCCTGTTCTGCTTCCCGCTCTGTCTCTGGTGAATCCTCTCACCTTCCGCATCTCTGGCCTGTACCCCATTTCTGTACGAATAAATAAATAAATCTTTAAAAAAAATATTTATTTATGCATACAGAAATGGGGTACAGGCCAGAGGTGTGGGGGGGCGAGAGGACTCACTAGAGATAGTGGGGTGCAGGACAGACTGAAATACACTGGCAAGGGGAGCAACAGGGGGCCCAGAGCGGTCTGCTGCACCATGAGGGTCACCACCCTGGCCGGGATCCACCTCGTGCTGTGTGCTGCCGTGTCTGGCTACAACTTGATAGTGCTGAGACTCTGACCCTTACACCAGGCAGGCCCTCATTCCTTCGTTTTTATTTATGTATTAAAGACAGGTCCTTGGAAGGCTCCACTTTAAGCAAAATGAAATGAGGCTCAGTAGAATCAATTTTATCACAGGCTACTGGAGAAAAACAAGTTAAGTTCCTACAGCATATTTGTAGTTGCACAAATATCACACTTCAAAACAGTAATTTGTATCCATTTTCTAACCCACCAGTGGCCAGAGCCTGTTCTGACAGCTTAAGAGACTGGACCGGTGATCTGCTCACAGGGCCACCCATACACTCAGACCGGACAATTCCGTGAGGCTGGTGATCCTGCCAGGGACACTTTGGGAGGCGGTAGGAGGAGACCAGTGAAGTGGCTGAAAACCCCGGGAGAATGTTCAAACGACACAATGTTCCCACTCAGGCTGGGAACGAACCCCCCACACCCCCATTCATGTCCTTAACACAGAATGGATGACCTCATTCTGGGGCCCGCTGTCATGGAAATGCCACCTTACCTACTCCCCCAGTTTACTAAACTCAATGACTGTGATTGCACAGAGGCACCGACACCCGAGTCTCCATCAGTCAGAGACTAAAGGTATCAGATGGGCAAGCTCTGAGGCCTGCGTCACAGGAAACACTCAGGCGAGTGTGAGCCCGTCCTAGGCAAGGGTGTGTCCCCATAAGATGGAAGGGGGTCTCCAACGCTGGGCAGGGCAGAAGGCGTTGAGGGTCTGTGTGGGTGCCTGCCCCTGGGGGCTCAATCTCCCTTTCACAGCGGCTGGGCCTGTCGGGCCCAACAGGGGTGGACCGCAGCCAGTGGCTTCGTGACTCAGCAGTCAGAGGGACCCAGAAGCCCGAAGAAGCTGAGGGTACTACACAGGAAAGGTACAAAGACACCAAGCCCGGATGGAGCGCCGATTCCAGGACATGTTGGGGCGCATGGCTTTGCCCTGGTATTTCCGGCTGAGTCAGTGACATCTCTCAGCCACACAGGCGTGAACTTGACTGCACAACCTCCTTTTCCGAAATCCCAGAATCTGGTGCAGCAGTTGCCAGCTGATGAATCTGAGTGGGAAAGAACATCACTGCGAAGCTGAGCTCCTGGAACAATAGGACGGAAACTGGAGCTCGGCTGGGGAGTGGCTGGGCCCAGGCCATCCTGGTTCACAGCTGGTCCGGTCCTGCGCTCCAGCTGCTTCTGCCCGTGGGTGGTCATTACCCATGGAGAATCTTTATCCCACTTCCTCAGGTTGGCCTAAGGGCTGTCCATGCAACTTGCCCCCAGGGTTTCACCCTCCCCTCCCCTCCATGTGATCTGGAATGTAAATAAACATTCCCAAGAATGTCATTCCCACCTCCAAATTCATGCTGAAATTCTGACTCTTAGCATCTCATGATGTGACTCAGTTTGGAGATGGGGTTTTGAAAGAATTAAGATGAGGTCACTCGACTGGAATGGCCCCATCCGATATGTCATCCTTACCAGAAGTTCAGAGTGAGACTTGCACGGCTATCGATAGTAGACTGATTGAGACTCTCTTCCATCCATTCAAAAAGCAAACCACCATACCGTTAACGACTGGCTCCTCACCCCAACCTGTTCTGGTTGGCATACAGTTTATGTGGGCCAAGGGACATCCAAATCTGGGTTGGCATCTCATGCTGTCACTTATTACATGTGACTAGTTTGGGGGAAATGAACTGTTTATGTGCTTCTGAAAATTAGGAGTAATTTCACATATCTTTGGAAATGTGAGATGGTGTGCTTAAAGTTCACAGCAGTGGGAAACTACAATGAATGGTAGTTCAAAAACCAAATTCAATTCTTGTGAAACAATGTTCTGGCTTATTTTTAAAAATAAGTTTTTCAGTCCTTCCTAAAGTCCTAAATGATTTTAGGGAACACAAGGCAACCTGTGGTAATACTTGATAATCTCACATTGCCTCAGGTGGCTATTCTAAGAAATAGAGAGTGTGGGCTGGAACCCTGATCTTTTAAAAATGAGAAGACACCCCTAAGGGCCATGGTGCAAGATCACAGCTACTGATGTTAGGGTACTGGGCTAAGCCAAGTCAATCACAATGTGAAGCTCATGAAAACTTCTTACTCTACATACTCTACATAATAGAAATTGAAACTACACAAACAAGTAACATGAGGCTTGACGAGAACATTACATAAGCAATAAAATGGATGAGCAAGGATGTGGTGTAACTTTGGGTTTTAGGAGTGTCTGTTGGTACTGGGCAGAGCAGGAGGGCCAGGCGGGGCGAGGTTTCTTCCAGAATGAACACAAGGGCAAGGGGATCTGATATTCCAGCTCATAATTACTAAGCAAAGATCATGTCTAAAATATTCAGTGGTCAGACAATCCCTGTTCTGAGATTTCTCTTGGTTGACCTTAAGGGGCACAAATTGTGTTTCTAACAAGAAAACAAGCCACCCCCTTAGCAACACCAAAGTTCTGGTAGAAGTTGCAGCTCCCAGAGAAGCTCTCACAAGTACTTACCTGCAGTAAGTACATTGTAAGGAAGCCAGGCAGTGTCCCATGGCTAGGATTTGAGAATGACCAAGAATCTGGCCAGCGTCTGTAAAACCTTATAGTTTTTGGATGACATTTTCCAATAGTCCAATATCTAATTTGAGCAGAACAAAGGCCACATGAACTTCTACTTGGCAAACAATAACTTCATCTCATTTCCAAAACCTCTGGACACTTAAGTAAGTCCTTTCTCTTCTACGGAACAGAACAAAGAATCACTAAGTTGCACGATGGGGAATTTGGGCACTTGGAAACTTGTCAAGGGGTGACATCAGCACAGATCATGGGAGAGCGCTCCACTGGGCAGGGCCTGGACTGAATCTGGCCCTGCTCCTTGCCATGACATGGTGCAAGGTTCTGAGCGCCCGTTTCTCCTTTTGTAGAATGGAGATACACAATGACATTTTCCTAAGGCAGTTTGTACAGTGTACAGAGCCCAACAAGGAAATCCATGAGCACTAGCTTTTGTCACTAATAACAAGTCAAAACTTGTAACTACCCTTTACGGCACCACTGAGAAAGGTCTCTGCTTAGCTTAGCTTAGCTTAGCTTAAATAGCGATGGTGCTAACCATAGAGTTAAGAGAAAGCAAACACCTGGTGAAGTGGAATAGTTTTTCTAATTAAGACTATAACTTCTTTTAATGGCTAAGAATGTTTACTTAACACAGAGCAAAATGAAGCAATAAATGATCTTTCAGGTTCCAAAGACAGAGAACCTTAACTATAACCCCAGACTTTTAAAGTTTGGGATTGTCTTGGCTAAGTACAGTTCTTGAATCTGGCTGGCTTAAGCTCTCTGAATGTCAGGATAGCGAGACTAGCTCAGCCCAAGCAGTTAAGAATTCTAGATGCTTTAAAGTAGGTATAAAAATTGGTCAGCAAAAAATAGGTCAGCAAATCTAGACTAGGGCTGACAAAATTCAGCAAAAGAGGGATGGAAAAAAGGTCAAAGGATTGGCATATTGTTCACTTTTGGTTTTGTATCACCCAGCTCTTATTCTCATTGTTTTCTGTCATAACCAAGACTTGACTGAATAAAGCTGTTTCTAAGTTTAACACTGAACTTAAGTTCACATGCAGTTAGATCAGGTTCTGCTAAATGCTTTTCTATTCCTAAGGAAATGTCTCCACCTATCTCTACAATGTTCTTTTCTCACTTTGTAGGCAAAGAAGCCAGTCCTCTAACTTTCAGAGATTCCCTCAGGAAAGGCAGCTGGCAGGTAAGCAGAGTATGTGCTGGAGCTCACTGGGCCACTAACGGGACTTCTATATGCTGACCCATGCTGGATACTGTGAGATTCTCTCTTGGGTTCGCTTTCCTTTCTGCAACAATGAAATAAAATTGTGTGTTCTACTCAATTTTAGAATATGTGGAAGGGAAAACCCAAGTGTTTCCTTATCTCTGCCTCTGGAAGGTACACACTGACAGCTGGGGATTCTACCGAGTGCAGCGGCGTCTGTCTTTTCTGTTTACATGACTGCTGAAGCAAGCTTCTTCTAATCTGAATTTCACTTAGAGTTGGCCAGGACCCTAACTGATTTAAACTTCTCATCCAACACTCGGGCACCTACCTCGTGTCCAATATAGCCACCAGGTGGCTTTAAAATTTTTTTAAAAAAAACTTAAAATTTATGCATACAAGAAAGAGCTGGGGCACAGATTAGAGGTCCGAGGATCCACCAGAGACAGAGCACACAGGTGGATCTACTGAAATGTACTGCTGAGACAGGACAGGTCTACTGCGTCCTATGGGTCAGCTCCTTGGCTGGAAATTGAACTTGGCCACAGTGGCTGACAATAACTTAGGCACTGAGACTTAACCCCTGTGCCACCAGATAGGGCCTATATTGAGAATTTATAAATTCATTCTTATATTAATTTTAAGCCATATGAACAAAACCCAAAGCCTCAAAATTTTGATACTAATACTTAGCACAGCACCTAACAACCATACTTAAGAATTATTTGCAAATAGCTTAATTAAAACTAAAATTGTGTTCTAAATTATTTCTCCTCGATTTATCTATTTTCAATCCTGTATTTAGCTAAGGATTTAATTGAATATTAAGCACAAAAAACTAGAATCTATCATCTTGAAAGTAAAGCCTCTACTACCAAAGGATTTTTTAAAACCTCTTATTCATTAAACTACCAAGTCTAATGTATACAGGGTCATCATTTACCATTCACATCAGAATTCAAAAGCAAATACACTGGAGCTGTGTTTAAAAGTAAATGCAAGTTTGAAAAAAAAAACCAAAAAACCAAACCAACCAACCAAACCCAAACAAACCAACCAAACCCAAACTTGGTCAGGGCAACACTTAGTTACTTCTGGGGATGTACTATAAAGCTTAAATATAAGCTACAGTTCAGCAGCTTTTAAAATTTCATGTTTATTCATATTTTTCAAAATATATGTACATAAAAAAAGGAAGATTTACAACAGGAAAGATTGCCTTACATGCAACACAAATTCCAATGAACTCATGATGGGATCACACATGATTATGGATCGAATTCCAGCCAAGCTTCTCAAGTCCATTCCCGGCCACACTTCAGGCTGCAGACAGGATCCCAGGAGACAATGCAAGTGGAATGAATGGAACAAACATCTTTTGCCTCTGGCAGTACTCAAGGGGCCAGGAGATGTACACCAAAAAGTTTAAGACAATTAAAATGTCAAGTGCCACAGGGAGGATAAATGATAACCAGAAATCAGTATTTCTCAAGTAGAAAGCTAATACTATTTAACACAACTTCACAATACTAAAACAAATACAAATAAGAAAGGGTTAGGTAGTTGGGCTTCGTTTTTTTTTCTTTTTTTCTTTTTTAATATCTTAAAAAGGAAGCCACTTGTTTGATATTAAAAGTGCTATGGAAAGAAAGGAGGGGGAAAAAACCCAATCTGGAATCTAGTTTACTTTAGCAAATTGTTTTTCCACTTAACATTTCTATATTAGCAAAGATGTAACTCTCCAACCTTTCTTCATGAAAAAGGCAAATAGGAAGTGACAACTCATACTCCAAATATTAAAAAATATATTTAAACATCTGATCAAGAAGATTTTATGTTCTGATTTTTGGTAACACAGGTGACCAGAAATCACAAATTCAATATGTTCCTCTATTTCCCCTTCAGTCGAAAACCAAGTGGTGGAGAGAACTTGTGCTTGCTGTTAAGGGAATTCTGCAGTGTCCTGGGCTACTGACAAATACCTGGACATCGATCAATGTGAAAAGTAGCTCATAGGAGCCCAGCATCTTCAGAATAAAATGAAATCACATTTTTGGCTTATTCCCAAATCTAAGATGTCTCTGTTTACAGCTGGAGAAAGAGGGCTGGCAGAGTGGTTTTATACATTAGACTAAGTATTAAGTCTCCAGGCAGGAGGCTTTACAAGTCAGTCAGTGCTATACTGTCTCTTTTTAACGCCCACCATCTGACCAGCATCCTGTTCTTGATGCCTTCTACAAATATAAAACTCTTTGCAACTGTTCAGATAAAACTGAAAGGAAAAAAAAAAAAAAGGTTGGGTGGAAGGGGAAAAAAGGACAAATCTAATAATACAGTTCAGAAAAGTCCAGAATTATCGCAGAAATTAAAGTGACTGAGGGAAGGGACAGGCACCAAGAATAGCACCTGAAGCTAACAAATGCCTAAATTGGTTTATTTATGATCCCTCCCAACAATGTTCATTGGAAAGGGGGAAAAAGTAATTTTAAAAGCATCAAAGCTACAACAAATGCACACTGACCTTAGAAAATAAGATTTTTAAATTTCATCATGATACCCTTTTCTCCTATAAAATTTACTTTTTTGCTTTGAAAGATTTCTTCATGGTGGACTTGCCCTTGCCAGGCAATTTTACTTCCTTTCTCACACTGGTGGCAGGTTTCTTGGAAGAGCCACCACTAGGTTTCTTGATGACTGAAGGGGAGGGTCTGGCTTTCTTGGCAGGAGTTTTGGCCTTAGGAGGAGCTTTTTTGGGGAGGGGCCTAGTTTTACCCCTCTGAGAAGCTGGGACTTTAGGTGCAGGCTTGGAGCCTCTCTGTTTCACAGGTGCAGCCTTTCCTGATGACCTGGCTGGGGTTTTCTTCTGCAACCTGTGAGAACGAAAGAGCAAAGACAATTCCTTAGTATTTGAGAAATTCACTTTGCTAGGGTGAGGTGCTTCGCCAAGAAAGAAATAGCAGAGGTAGAAGAATGTAACAGACTATTATTTTACTGAGGCTTTACTGTCTGCTTATGCACAGAAGAACAGGGGTGCAGGCCAGAGGTGGGGTGAGTAAGGATTCACCAGAGACAGAGTGGGGAGCAGAACAGGCAGATCTACTGAAATACACTGAGGGGAGCAGAAGGCAAGATAGGTGAGGTCAGCTGGGGATCCCTCTCTGTGAGGGAGGTCCTACTACATGTTAAAACATCAACCAATTCATGCAAGTTTATACCTAATTCCACTATGTTTTTTCTAGGAAACTATGGAATTATTTTCTTTAAAAAGCCAGACAAACTGTGGAGGGTTGTGCATTATATGTATGACCGTATGACCAAAGAATAAACTGCATTTTTACAGTGCTTCATAAATTAACAGTCCCTGAATTTTCAAGACAAACTCAAATCTTCCACAAAGAACTTGAAGAGGGTTCTGAGTTATTAACACACTTTCACAGTTTTGCCTATTACTGCTATTTCCAACTCTACCATACATTCCCATACCTTCTCTTAGGTGGTGGCTCTTCATCCTCAGAGTCCTCTTCTGAGGAGTCATCTTCATCCTCATCTTCATCCTCATCTTTAGAATCATCTGTCTCTTTCTTTGGAAACAGAACTCCTGGGCTATGGAGGTGGGAAGTGACAATAAGGTAAAAAAACAAGTCCCACATAGGACAGGGAAACGTGCAACCAGAAGTTCTTACTAGTAGGACATTCCCTACTCCTTAAACAACCCTTGCCCAAACATCAAGTTAAATAACAATTTAACCTATTTTCTAAAATCTATTTTGAACACATGTAGAAAGTTAAAACAAATCCATAAAAGTTTCAGACCAAATTCCATTCCCTTCTTCCCTTAATAAAATGGATCCCCAATCATTTCTTTAGTAAACGATTATTTTTATGCCCCTGGGCTGTAACTACTCCTGTGCTAGGCACTGACTGGCAGGGACAGTCTTCAAGGCAGTGAACAATCTGTGCAGAGTCATTTTTGTCTTCAACATTTTTGGCAAAAGACCTCAAAGTATTATGACACCTGAACTGTTTCAAAATGTTTAGAGAAATTTAGTAAGGATTATCTTTGCCTTTAATGGTAGAAATTTTGATTCACTGATTATAATACACATTCAACCAAGTTAGCACTTGTTGGTGTTACACTTTACTGTTGCTGGAATGGGGATATTACAATACATTCATGACACTTTATTAGAAATGAAAAGTGTCAGAAAGCTATCGTATCACTGCACAGAACCGTGCCTGGCCTAGAGGAGGCAAACGATGCATTTCTGGTTCAATGAATTAAATAAGTATGTAGAAGAGACAGATTTTCTAATAAATATCCTTGTCCCTCGAGTATGGAGAAGGTGGTTCCTGGAAAAAGTCAATGTCCCTACTTGGTGCTGGATAATTACTGTAAGCCTCTAGTTACCTTGTTATTGTTTACATTAACAAAGAAATAAATGGTAAAATGATCAGCCAAGGGTCTCAAAGAATTCAATGTTTAACTTCAGGACCTGATGGATAACAGTAAAGTCCGGCAGGATAGCCTACATGCCCTGGTCTTAAATGTAAATCTTTTGCTCTAAAACAAAAATGCCTTAGTTTTTATTCTCAAGTATAGTATAACAGTAATTAAGAGTGAAATAAGTTAAGCTAAAACTGTTACAGAGAATATGATCTTAACCTTAGTGACTGATACTTCAACTTACAGCTGGACGCCTACCTGGGATAGTAGGGGAAACAGAGCTGGAAGGTGCCGCTGAACCCTTTGCCGGAGATCTGCTCCACCCACCCATTCTTCTCACACTTCTGCAAAGTTTTCTTCAGTAAATGCACTGAAGGAAAAACACAGGAATGAAAAAAAGTTAGTTATTCAAATTTGACAATTCTCTCAACCACAATCAGATGTACAACAATTTCACGTCTCTCACATACAGTAACTGATGTATGCTAAGTGAATCTTTGAGGTCAAAGGCATTCACACAACAATTCTTAAATGTTCACAAATTTAGCAAGAGTTAAATCATAACGCACAAGACTTTGGAGACCACTGTGTCAGAGTCCTCAAGTCACAGAAGAGGAGAAAGAACAGCGGATGTTAAGCGCACTGCCCTACAGTGGCATACTGATGGTTCACAGCTGACCTAGACTGAACTGCTCATTATGCCCATTCAAACATCTACCCAGCACCTGTAAGTACTGACAATTATCTAGAATAAAATCTATATACAGAGCCAACTTCTCATGAATCAGCCTCACCAATTCCTATCTTTCATAGAGACACATCAAGAACCTTCCCTTATAGTATACAATAACACGTATTACATGCATGCTAAAAATAGGTTAGTATTAAAACTTAAACATTACCTTTTCATTCAAAACAAGTCTCTACTTTACACTTTCTGTTATTACTAATTTCCCCAGTCTGCCCCCCCATACGCTAATAGCTCACTCAGAAAACACATAATCTCCCTCATCTGTATGAGAGAATGTTAAGGCAAGGTTCAAATCTCAAATCACCACCCCAGAGAGTAAATGTACTTTAATGAAGTAAAGTATTTTCTATTATAGAGCTTAAGGCAACAAGAAATAATCTAAGTAGCATTTTTTAAAAAACACTGCTTGGTTTTAAGGTGGAATTAATTGTCTTCATAATTATCAGATTTATCTAAGTAATAAAGATACGAAAAAACTTTACAGCAAAGTCAACTTCTGATTTTCAGTATACACTGTAAATTAAGGATAAGACTTTATTACTGTTAACTCTTTTTGAATATAGTAAGTTTGTAAAGGCGTTCCATCTTGGTTTTCATGGTGAGCAGTTTATGCTTTGTCATTGCTAATGTGATCCTGAGGGATTCTTCAGGAGATAACCCTCCAGTTCCACCTACCACGCCCAGCGAGTTCTTACTTTGATAGTTAGAGTTGGCTCCTGGGTGGTTCTCCAGGACATACTTCTTCAGAGCAGTGGTGGAGCAGGTCTTCGGCTCATTCATGGCAGCAATGGCAGACAAGATTGCATATTCCATCAGGCTTCCACCAAGCAGGGGTTTCTCCCCTGATTTCTTCAGCTGTTTTCCAAGGAGGAAGAGAAAAGCATCAAGACAACACTCTCCCAAAGCAGGTCAAGACAAGACTCCTCTGCACCAGGTGGGTCGGAGTTCCTGCATCAGCACAGATATGTTTTACAATGAATTGTCAGGTTAGGGACTTCCTTCCCCCATGTACAGGTGCTCAGTCTAACTGAGGAGGCCCAGCCCTGCAGCGGGGATTATCTCCTGCCATCTACCCTCCGTCCAAGTTAACCCAAAGAGGGCGACAGCTCTACCCAGCAGGTTGACTTGTTATCTCCTAGTAATTTAAGATTCTTTTGATGATACTCCCTTTGTCTGAATCTGAAAAAGGGGTAATTGTGAAAATAATAATTTCTTTAATGCTGTAAGAAAATGGGTAAAGGAAATTTGCTAAATATTTAGGGTATCTTACAGAAATCCCAAAGCATATTTCTGAGAACAGAGGCTGCCACTGATAAAATGGGTAAAGGGACAAAATCAGTGTTATTTTATTGTGATCGCAAAAAGTAATCCCAAACCTCCATCCCCCCATTCTGGGGTTCCTAAGACACTTCAGAAGATGTGCAAAGTCAAAATTATTCTCATGGTAATCCTAAGATGTGACTGGCCTTTTTCACTGTGGTGACTTGTGCAGTGGTGAGCAGCAGTATCTTACAGAGGCATAAAAAGGTACTAGCTGTTTCTTTTACTGTTATGCTTTGGGGTTAAACAAAATTCCAGTTTTACTTAGGAATATCTTTGACGAAGTAGTAAACATTATTTTACTATATCTCAACCTCAACCTAAGTATTTGTTGACTTTTGGTCAGTATCAAGTAACAATATAGACATTTGGAAATCATCTTACAATACTCTACACTTGCCCGTATCCCGTGAGAGTTGGGATTTTCTTCAGACACAACCTGAAATATAATCAGATACACGCTTTTTCTGTTTAAGACTTAAATGAAATAAGCGGTGATCCTCTGAATTTTTAGTTTTTGTCTTGGAAAATATACTTTTCATTAAAAATATTTATGCTAACATGTAATGGGTTTATCCTTTTTAAAAGAATTAGTAAACATTAAAAATGTTCCTGTTTTAGGGGCCCTCCCTGGTGGCTCAGCGGGTTAAAGCACAGCACTAAGAAGCTTAAGCCACTTCTGCATGATTTCGATCCCTGCCTGCCCTGGAGGTGATCCTCATGGTGTGGCAAACCTCTCCTGACCTACCCACTGCTCCCCTCAGCAGTGTACTTCATCCATCTGCCTGTTCTGCTCTCCACTCTGTCTCTGGTGAATGCTCTCACCCACTTCATCTCTGGCCTATACCTCAGTTCTGTATGAATAAATAAATATATCTTTAAAAAAAAAATGTTCCTGTTTTAATGTCTAATATGGTAAATACTGACAGTATATCCCATAGAAACATAAATTCCTGGGGGCCTTTTTAAGGATTCTTAATAAGTCCTTTTAGAGTATGAGAAGATCTTGAAATAAAAGATTTTGAGAACCACATCTTTTTGGCCTCTGACCTGGAATGTCCCAGAAGCACCTTTGCCAGTTATCTGTTCTAACTGGCCTCTCTCTACTGCTCTCTGCAGTGCATTCTTCAACAGCTGAGGCCTGCAGAGAAAACAAAAAAAAGTGCTAAATACCCTAATGATGGAAAAGATTTGAAGAAAAGTGATGCAGGATAATTCCCAAACCTAAAGTTCTGATACCTGTGGTATGCAGTACTTTGTTAAAATGAACAGTAACGTAGTAATTTGTCGGCACCATAATAAAAAGTTAAATGCTTTTATCCTTAAACAAAGACGCTCAGTCATTACCTGTGCATAGGGAACCATGTATCATACAGAACCAAACTACCCAACTTCCAGGGCACTCTAGAAACTTCCAACTATTACCATCACAGTACAAAAGCAACCATATTGTAATCAACCAAAGAATAATTTTCTTTTTTTTTACCCTTTTTATTCCATTCTGGATTTCTGAGATCCTAGATATTTTTAAAAAGTACATACATTCCTAGATCTTTTAAAAGTATACACACACATTAAAATCAATGAAGTCACTTTTTGTAAACCATTTTCTGAGGTAAGCCTCATCAAATACAATTCCATGAGTAAAAAAAGTGTCTTCTCAGTATCCCTCTATCTTGAGGATTAAAATTGGAAAAACAAAAACAAAAACACACAAAACTAGCTTATCAAAATCAAGAAGAAACTGAATTGTTATTCAAAACGTAAGAACAGTGTTGAAGCAAGAACTGCTTTGTCAAAGGGCAATTGTCTTAATGATGGGTGAGGAACCCCAGGTGCAGGGAGAAACCAACCAAGTTGACTTATGCTTAAAGGGGACTGAGATATGAACAAAAAAAGTCAGATTGAAAGGACTTTCAGGCTAACAATAGGTCAAAATCCTCCCTGATGGCTCATGGGGTTAAGTCTTAGCATTATGAAGCAATCAGCAGCCACTGCAGCATGAGTTCAATCCCTGGCCAGGGAGCTGACCCACACGGCATAGCAGACCTCTCCTGTCTTGCCCACTACTCCCCTTAACAGTGTATTTCAATCGGCCTGTTTTGCTCCCCACTCTGTTTCTGATAAATTCTCACATCCCCTTCCCACCAGCCCTTTTGGCCTACACACCAGCTCTTGTATGCAGAAATAAATAAGTCTTTTTTAAAAATCCAAGACACTAGAATTTTTCAACACAGCATCATATGCTTGAGAAGGAGCAGAAAAGATCTGATATTTTAATAGAATGTGAAAGCACAGAAATGACACTATCAAATCTTGTATATCCTGACACTCCAAACCAAAAACGAACTCCCAATTAAAACATTTCTTTAAAGATTTATGTATTCAAGAACTGAGGTACAGGCCAGAAGTGTGGGGCATAAGAGGATTTACCAGAGACAGAGTGGGGAGCAGAACAGGTAGTTGATTGAAATACACGGCTGAGGATGAGACAAGAGAGGTCTGCTGTACCATGTGGGTCAGCTCCCTGGCTGGGGATCGAACTCGTGCTGCAGCGGCTGTGGCCAGCTTCACAGTGCTGCACTTTAATCCTTTGCACCACCAGGGAGGCCCCACAAAAACATTTCTAAGACAGGCAGGTGACCTCTTGCATAGCTCCTCCTAGCAGTATACTTAATATATCAGCCTTTTCTGGTCTCAAAAAAAAAAAAAAAAAAAAAAAAAACCCCACAACAAAACAAGTATTTCCAAGGCAGAACTATTCCACTCAGTATGTGATTTATACCATGACCGAAAACATATACCCCCACTCATATAACGAGTATTGTCATGGTTATGCAGGAATACTCACACGATCTGGTCACTTCCCTGAAGGAATCTGAGATGATGAATACATTAATTAAGATAGAGAATAAGGATCAGAGTTGAACTATATGCAGAGAACCTACGAACATAATTAAGGGAGTGATTAAGCTATCAAATAACTTTTCTACTAGTTGCACTACAGTTTCTACAGATTGGCAGCTGGCACTATTAGCCAAATGCAACAAATGGGTCATGTTTGGATAACGACTGAAAAAAACGCACTGTATTGTTGGAAACAACTAAAGACATATGAACTTGACCTGTGGTTCCTGGACAATGTTAATTACTAATTTTACTGGGTCATGTTCTTTCCATATTTTTTGGATTCATCCTCATTTGCACTATTTTACTAATTCTTTAGTTGGGCATCCCCAAAATCACGTAGTCTTGGATGGTGATGCTGGTAGCATTTCATGACTGCACTGCGTACCACTGAACACTGGATACTTAAAAATACTCAGATGATAAAATCTCAAGTTTAGATAAAATCTTTAGTTCTATCACAATAAAAATTACTGGGCCTTCCTGCTGGCCAGGGATTATCAGCGCTGTCACCAGTACGGTCTGAGTTCAATCCCCAGTCACAGAGCTAAGCCACATATGGCTTAGCTCCTGCCTCGCCTGCTGCTCTCCTCAGCAGTGTGTTTCAGTACCGCCTGTTCTGCTCCTGACTCTGGTGAATCCTCTCACATGCCTTGCAACTCTCGCCTACATTCCCAGTTCCTGTATGCATAAATATATAAACCTTAAAAACAAACAACCAAAAGAAACTGTAAAAAGATAGTGCAAAAGGAAACAATGAAGACCACAAAAAGGAAAAAACTGCAAAAAAAGATTTTATTTCTATCTTAGCTGACAGTAACCCTCCTTTTCTATGCTACTTTTACTTTCTTAGGAAAAGGGGACTGCAGGAGTAACACAAGTGTCTGCAGGTTTCACGCTCAAGCCAGCACCTCATACCTGATGTCCACTCTAAGTTTAGGATAATACTGAGACACATATTTCCTTATGAGACTGTAAGACGCTTCTTTAGGCTCACACAGGCGAGTGAAGGCCAGTGGCAGGATATCCTCCAGTTTTACTTGTGGCTCTGGATCCACTGCAGCACTCCTCTTCTGGAATGGAACATCAAAATCATCAGCATGCAAACTATATGTTTTATTCAAACATTTTATGTTCAATCCAAGGATTTTCCTCACTTGACAGCCAAATTTAGAGAAAACTATTGCTGTTTCCCACACATCACAGTAGTATAAACTCATTAGTGTGACACTTTAATTGATAAGAAGTTCAGCTTCAGAAGAGGTTTCAATAAGAGGTACTACCTCTTATTTAATTTTATCGTTACAAGTAAACTATAAATGAAATTATGTATGTTGGGAGAATATTGTTATTTAAAAAGAAACTGGCTGAGGGTAAATTTTTGGGGGTCAATATTGGGTTAAAGTGTACTCTTACACTTTCAGTTTAAAAGATACTTCACAAAAAAGCAGTATAATTCAAACAGCTGTCCATAATTCAATATTTGAACATGGGCCCTGGGGCTGGAGTGCATGGATCTGCACATTTTATTTTACTCACTAGCTGGGTGTTAATGGGCTAATTACTTTTAATCTTTCTAGGTGTAAGTGGGATGACTGCACCTTGCAGAGTGCTTGCCACAAAGTAGACACTCACCACTGCTTTATTCTTCAGCATGTTGTGCTCAGCTAAACTGGTATAGACTTCTTACCTTTCTATTTCTGGATTTCTGAGGTGTTTTTCTTGATTTCTGAACCACAACAAAACTTCCAGAAGCACCTTTCCCTTTTACCTAAAGTAAATTAAATTTAATTATAATAACCTGTATTTTTATTGTAAATTACTCTGGTATTTGTGTTAATAAATTGATACTGGACTAGGCCAATTAGAGGGCATGATGATATCAGAGAACTAAAATAAAGTGCTATTAATCTCTTCCAAGACAAAAAACACAATGAAAAGTCAAGAGCTAGCTTGGATACTATTCAATACTGGACAAGTCTGTAAACCCACTAAATCCAGTTTCTCATCTACAAAATTTGGGAAGAATGCAATTATGGTATCATGTTAAACGGCTTGCTTACTATTCAAGCTCTTAACAAAAAAAAAAAAAAACAAAAACAAACCAAAAAACAAGACAAACAGCCTCTGGGTAAAATAAGGAGACCTATCACTATCTTGGAAGGAAGACTGTTCCTAAGTAAAAATTTAGAACCTACTTCATTATTACTGCATTTGGGAAAAACGTAACAATTTTTAGACATAGCCTGTGATGGTATGTATAAATCATGCCACATATTTCCAGTTTCCTAGGCACTTATAATGAATATAAATTGATACAAGATAATCTGAATCCTCCACATTTTAGTTTTACTTACACTGGTGTAGTATAGCAATCAAATGCTTGAAAAGTAGGGTGTTTTAACAAGAGGTTAAGAATCAGCACTATGAAGCTACTGGCCTCCACTGCAACTACCAGGGATGACCCACATGACACAGCAGACCTCTTCTGTCTCACTCGTTGCTCCCCTCAGCAGTGTATTTCAGTTGATCTGCTTGTTCTGCTCCCCAAGCTGTCTCTGGTGAATCCTCTCACCCCACCCCACCCACACTCTCGCATGTATAAATAAATAAAATAAATCTTTTTTAAGATTTATTTATTTATGCATACAGAACAAAAAAACAAGACAAACAGCCTCTTGGGGTAAAGGCCAGAGGTGGCGAGAGGTTTCACCAGAGACAGAGTGGGGAGCAGAACAGGCAGATCGACAGGGAGCAGCGGGACAGGAGAGGTCTGCCGCACTATGTAGATCACCTCCGGGGCAGGCGGGAATCGAACTCATGAGGAAGTGGCTTTAGCTTCTTAGTGCTGTGCTTTAACCCGCTGCGCCACCAGGGAGGGCCTAAATAAAATAAATCTTAAAAAAAAAAAAAAAAAAAGCTGAAATACTTTCAGCTCATTAACTGTTTAACCATCAAACTCTTGCCTGTAAGGCAAGAGTTACAAATGATATTTTCACAAAGAAAACCATGTCAGCTCATAAACTGTGCTTAATATATTATAATGCAAAATAGATCTTCAATCAATCAAAGATTATTTTAAAGTTTGTTTAAATATCAGTTTCATAGCATTTTGAGAAAGCTAGCACATACAGCAGCAATCTGTTTTACTCAGCAATGGACTCCCCGGAGCGACACACAGGAAATACTCAAAATGTATTTGTGAATGAAGTACCATTGCAAGACTCTAAGCAGTTTAAATGCCCGGTGGCACAGAATTATGTATTAACACAGCAGAAAGATATGAAAAAGAAAGGCAAGAGGATGTGGGAATGGAGTAAAAGAGGTCCTCAAAACCACCCTTATCACTACTTTCAGAGGTTGGTAGTTACTTCACATGCCTGAATATCTGAAGAGAGTGAGTTAAGATAGTTCATTCTAGCTTTAGATTTCTATGTTTCTAAGCAATGTTTCAAGGTACTATGCAAAGAAACATGGATTTATACCTGAAATCAGTATTGACTCTAGTCCTAGTTTCAGTTTACTAACCTACTCTGAGACTCCTCAGAGGCTTTAATAGTTTTAGATACCTTTAAGTTAAGGTGAACCTATCTGCAAAGCTAATTTAGTATGGTAACACATCTAGTCACATAAGTTACAGTTTAAAACTAGTAACAGCCATTCTCTTTTGTGTGGTTGCAAAAATAGGATGCCTTAACTCCACTCCTCATCTTTAGCACAACAGGAGCTCAAGTACAAACAGTCCCCAAAGAAAATCCAACTAAAAGTACAATAAGCTAGGAAAAAACTGCACATTCTATTCTGCTTCATCACCTATCTAGAATCAAACTAGGTTAAGCTTAAGCATTTCATCATCATGTTAGCTTATTTTTAATTAGACAAAGAAATATAAATGTTACTAAATTGGCCTTCACATAGTTGACACATGTTGGATACCTGTCTGATGACACCCCTGTTTAGTTCTCTCTTCAGTGCTTGCTTGAGGAGGTAGCCCCTCCTCTCCAGCTCCAGAGAAGGGTACTTGTGGATGATGTACTTTCGAATGGCAACCACTGATGCCCCACTCTTCTGGAAGCATGCCTGGAAAAGTAATCAGACCGTACATGTAGTCTCTATTAGCTTTTTTTCCATTAGAGAGTCAGACATGTTTTTAAAACATGTTATGAAATTATTTTGGAAGGGGGAGTGATAATGGATGATAAAATAGCAGGAAAACGAGCGGTCTTTCAGGACAGAGTTTTATCACGGCTGTGAAGAAATACAGCATTATAATTTTTCTTTCATGATAATTTAAAAATTGTTCAATACTCTGAAAGTTTCAACATGTGAGTAACATCCTGTCTGTTAACTAAAACCCTCTTTCCATTTTACTACTCTGTATCTGAAGACAAACCTAAAATCAAGAAAACAGATTGTTTTTCTTACTTGTAGGAGCAGAGATCTGGTCTGCTTTATGGCACACCAGGGCCAATACTTCTTCACAGATTTTACGTGAGTTATAGCCCAGGACATAAAGTAAATAACATAAAACTGGGTTTACAGATGGGAAAGGCTTAAAAGGAGTCTGGGTAACAGAGAGAATTATATAGCAATTCTGAGTGCCTCTTCCATTTCTATCCATTTAGTAGTCTAATGCCCATGACTTAAGTAGGTCACGATGTCACAAAGAAACTTTTTTTTAATGCTCTGCATTTCAAAGCAGCATCTATTATTTCTCTAATGACCCAAACCACTAATTTTATTTTGATATTTCTATAAACTGAACATAGCACTTATACTCTCGTTGGAAAAAGACTTAGTTGAACGTTATTTTTATCGATCAGGACAAACAACTTACTGTACAACATAAAATATGTTGCACTGATAAGGGTCATCTACTCAAAAAAAAAAACAACCTGACCAAGTATGACCTACTAAAGTTTACTCTTGATCTTATAAGTAAAACACAAGGCAAAGAAAAACAAGCAAAAGAACTCTCTTATTAAAAATAATCCCTGTTCCCGATAATGAAGATGAAGGTAGATGTTTTACTCTCACTGTTAAGCCTGCTCCTACAAACCTAGCCTGAGTGGCCACAAGGTAAAAATCTAAAAGAAATGCTACACAAAGAGAAAGAAATCTCAGGCCTCCCTAGTGGCACAATGGTGGTAGTGGTGGGGCGGGAGGGGTTTGTATTGCTTTTCCAGTTTATATGTCAGTGCGAATGACCACCAGGCTGCTCCTGTGTAAGTGAGTATATGTAATCCTTGGGTATAATGAGCTGTGTCTCTCTCCACCCATTTCTAATTCAGAACCTAGTGACGAGGCCCCTGAAAAGAGGAAGTCCATGACTTTTAACTCTTTTGATCATGTGATCATGTGAAATACTGTAAAATTAACCAGAAATATTTATACAAAAAAGGCAAGGTCAGATTAGAATATTAACTTAAAAAGTTAAAACAAGAAAAGTACAGCCAATGATCACATGTGCTAATGAATACTAAAAGATTTAGAGCCAAGTATGTGGGATATTTTTTCCAAGTACCTTGGAATGTGCAGGTGATGAAGCAAAGTAGTAGGTTTATAAAGAATTTTTTATAGGCCAGGTATAAAAGTTAATCATTATCAATATTAGACACTCATCTTTGAAGAAAAACCAGAAGACACTTAAACAAACAAAAAAGAATTCGGTTACCCTGAATCACAATTAGAGGTCATAAAAACACAGATCCCATTTGTCTTATTCTAAGATGTATCACTTGTAGGGTCACCTGACACAGAAGGCTCTTCAGGGTTTGTAGGATGAATTAACACTATCAATCATCAAATAAAAATTACACTTAAAACAATAAGCTGAGTTGAAAACTAAAGATAAGTTACAAATACCGCTATAGTAAATTAAAAAACAAAAACAAAAATAAAACAATGTACTCCAAAACTTCACAATGGCTTTTTTCTTATTAAAGTCTTTTAGGAAGCAGAGCAAGATTTCTGATGTTTGGATAGGGTAAGCCATTTTCAAATAACCAAAAGATGAACACCATAAATCCAAGATGAACCACTTTAAACAAGACTTGCCTCAATGGCCTCAGTGAGGATGGCATCCATCTTGGGACGGGGGGTGGAAGCCATCGGTGTTTGTTTCTGGGCCCTTGCCAGCTGGCTTGCAGAAAGAGTAGCCCAGGAAGGAATTGTTTTTTTCACTTTCTTCTCCTTTTCTTTAGAATGATCTTTCTCACTTTAAAACAAAGACTTGTTATTATGCAAGACAAACTCTTCTTAAAAGGTATAAAGTCAGAAACAGGAAAAGCCTGGGAAGGGATAAAAATTAATGGTTTAATTTATTGACACGTTAAGGTGGTATGTGAAATAAGCAACTTTTACACAATAAGACATTAAAAAAAAATTGTTCTGTACATAAGCCAAAAAGGCATTATTCTCTTTGGAGCATAAGAGTCACATAAATTAACACCGATATGAAGGCTTAGTACATTAAAAAAATAAGAAATTTAAAATGCATTCCAGTAACAACCACACAAGTGTAATTTGGTACCACAGAGAGAACTTAAAAGTTTAAAGTCAGAAAACCTACATTTGAGTGTTAGCTCAAGTTAGCTATATGATCTAAGCAAGTGACCTTCTCAGTCTCTTCAACTATAAAGTGGTAACAAAATAGTTACATCTATTTGGTCATATTAAAAGTAATATACCAAATTAATTTCACAAGGTTGCTGTAAAAATGGTAAGATTGTATATTAAAGCAATTTTGTGAGCCATAAAGCATTATGCAATTTTAATCTAATACCAATTAAGAATGGAATGAATACTACTAGCTGTCTTGCAAAAATTTTTAATTAAAAAAGAATTACCAGTGGATTGTACAGATATGTGCAAACTTACTTTCTGATTCTCAAACTCACCCTGCAATTGAATACTTTATCAAATATATACAGTTTTAGGTCACTCAAATAATGGCTTGGTCAAGACTGGTGTTTTTTAACATAAGCACATAAAAGTAGCTCACTTCTGGCACAGAGGTAGCAATAAAATGGTGAAGGTTAGAATTTTATAGACATGCTTCAATTTTACTGAAATTTTGTCAATGTATTTAAAGTATCAGACACTCCTAAAAGGAATACTAAGCACAAACACACATCACACAAAGTTGAAAGGAGTGAATTCTGGATCACTCATACCATTGTTCTGCTGACTGCCACACCGTGACAGGTCACAGGACTAGCTACATAGCAACTGAGCTTGGGTGATTTTAGAAAGTGAATCCTGTAAGTAGTTCACATGGTGCATAAACCTTGGTACTGACACTTGAAAGCAATCTGACCTATAACCCATTTCTGGAGTCTTCAATTATGAGTAGTAAGAAGGCAAAACTCCTTACTCTTTCTTGGCTTCCTCAGAAGACTTGTTTTCTTCCTTCTCTTCATTCTCAGGCTCCCCCTTTGGCTGCTCTGTCTCACTGGATGTAGCAGGTGGGGTTTCATTCTCTTGTTCTTCTACAGTGGAAACAGATTCCTCTGAACTTATATCTGGTTCTAAAAAGTCAGGTAAGTAGAATTGCATCAAGTAGATATATTAGAGCCTGAGACAATAAAAGGGTCAAAGTTTATCTTATTAATCTTATTAAATGAAATGTCCCAACCAACATATTAATTCTAAGATAAACAACAAATAGCTAAGTGTGGGGGGAAGTTTTCAAGCTCAGTGTCACTCAAGTTACCTATTCACAGCTGGCTGTTTATCAGATCATAATGTAAGAAAAGATGGACCAGAAAATAACATAGAAAATGAAATTTATCCTACTCCAAATCAATTATCTTGATTGTTCTCAGCAATATTAACAATGAGACTTAAAACTAAGAAACTGGTCATTTTATAACTTGACAGACAAATTTAAGTGATGAAATAAGAAACAGAAAATTAGCAAATAAGTTATATGTAATATCTACATACAAGGAGAATTAAAAAGGTCATTTTCTTCCTATAACCTAGTCACGTCATTACAAGTGCTAAAGGAATTTCTAGCTTTTCAACAATTAAAATTCTAAATCATGATAAATTTTGTATTGGTCAACTACCCTTCGCAAATCTCACCCTGGATCATGTTCTCCAACCAGACTGTGTATAAGGTGAAAATCCTCCTTTACATGTTCAGTCAAAATCAGAGCATTTATAGAGTCAGATACACCTGGAGTCAAGTTCAGTCTTTTTAACTTCCTAGCCTGATATCTTAGGGGAAGTTCTTTGGTATGTCCCAGCCTCAGCAACCTTACCCCACAAAGGTATTACAAGGACCACATAAAATGTCTTAGGAAAAGCCTATGGATCAACACTTGTACCACGTGGTGTTTCGCATCCCTTCAAACGCCTGCTGCTCCCAGGACTGCTCTGTAAGGTTCTTTTAGAACTTCAGTCTCACAGTGAAATCTGGGGATACAGACAACTGTATGATGTGTTTCTATCATGATGTATCCTTTACTGGCCCTCATCCTAATGCTCTGACCTGACCCCTGCACCATGGGTAACAACTTTCTATCAGTTTGTCATACGTTTATTCACTGCTCTGTTCTAAAAGGGGCAAACAGTGGGGTGAGGGTGGGGTGGGACGGGGCATTAAATAGGGCAAAACGCTAAGAACTATTACTAGGTTTTACTGTAATTGTAAATATACACACTCAACTTTACATTATTTCTTCTTCTTTAAGAATTATTGCTTAATCTCACATAAAAGTTCAATAACTCAACAGATACTGAGTATTCAATACATACAAGACACTGTTTTGACTTACTAACTATTGAACCTGCCACTGTGTGAAATTCAGGACTCGTACAATTTAAAGTTAAGTCTAATTATTTCCATGTACAAGGTACTATAATTCCATAGATGGAAAAGTAACCAAACATACAGCTTGTCAAGCGTCTTTTATAAATTCGTGGGTGACTTCTGTCTTACTTACCTGAACCTCGTGGCATGCATTCTCAAAACTAGTTATTAGTGATTGAGTAGCTTTAGTCAGTTATCAAACACATGGAATAAAGATGAGCTACCAAGTGGCTGCTCTCAGTGTTGGATAAAATAACCAATTTTCAACTCACCAGCCCCCATTAAAAAAAAAAATTCTGATTCCCATGACTGCTAATCACCTTAGACCAGGATGCCCAAATAGTCACTTGAAGATTCTGAGACAAAGCCCAGGCTGAGCTGGAAAAGAGCACAGCCCTGGTGCATCAAAGGGGTAAAGGTGGCAAGGCTGTCAGTAAATGGGCCTAATGGCCACAGCGGGTGCTCTCCCTTGGCAAACTTGAGGTAAAAAGCAAGGGAGAAAAGAGAAAAAGAAAAGCTCAAGGAGGATGGGGAGGAGGAGGTCAAAAGACTATGACAGGGTAAAGAAGGGGTGATTAGAGATGCCATAAAAAGAGCATTAGTACTCCAGGCTGGGGGGCGGGGGGAGAGGCGATCTACATTTCTCTCTTTTATGTTCCCACCTCTGACAATCTTCTTTCCACCTACGTCAACGTTATAAACCCATGTTCTGCCTGCCCCTTTGCTTAAGGCCCAATGAGGGCCATTCCTGGTATCACAGCTGCTTCAGCACAAGTTTGCTCCCCAGTCAGGGAGTGACCGACATGGTGCAGCTGACTTCTCCTGTCTTGCTCCCCTCAGCATTGTACTTCGTCAGTCTGCCTGTTCTGCTCCCCATTCTGTCTCTGGTGAATCCTCTCACTGCCTCTGCACCTCTGGCTTGTTTCCCAGTTCTGTATGCACAAATAAACAAATGTTTATAAAAAAAAAGGTCCAATGATTTCTGGGTGAGAGCTCCCCTTCCACCTGAGCCACCCCAAAAGCCTAAATCCTCTGTTCTCCAGTCTTCATCCCCTTAACATTTGTATGCCCACAAGTTACTTTTAGATTTTTCCTGTTGACTCCAACTATTTTTCTCTTTTTAACTCCAAGAGCATGAGCTGTTCACCTTTGAAAGTTCTTCAGGGTCAATATGATATTTGCTATTTTGCCCACATTGTCTGGAAATAACATACCAACAGGTAACACCTGTCTCTTTAGATGTTTTGCTAAAATACTCAGTCATGAATGTGCAAGAGAATTTATGGGACATTCCACATTTGAGTAAAAGCTTGCCACTTTGAGTTGTGTCACCACTTGACTTTACCTGGTTTTTCTTCCTCCCCTTCAGCAAGCTTGCTTTTGGGAGGAGTTTCCCGGGTAGAATTTACAGCTCGACGAATCGGCATGGTGCTATCTTCTACCTTCTAAGAAAAGAGATGGCCATAATCACACATGTGTGCAAAATTCCTGCTTCTCTCTTTTTCAAGGGGCTTAAGTGGGTGTCAGGAGATGTATGAGAATTCATCAAGCTGACTCCAAGATCTGATGTAAATTACTTTTAACAATTTTTTTGAAGTGAAATATGGTTTTTAAGAAGTACTTTTCAAAGTATTTTATTTTAGCTAGAAATTCAAATGGAACAAATAATTACACTTGATTTGCAACAAATTTAGAAGGTTTTCTAAGGAATTTGTGGGGAAAGGGAAGACAAAAAGAACTTTGTATCTATTTGATTTTTTTCAGAATCACAACCCAGATTCCCCAGAGTAGGGAAAGGAACGTGTACCAAGAAGGACCCAGAAGGGCCTGAAGTGAGGGACTGATCCAAGAGTGAGCTTCAAGAATGTGTCAGCCCCTACCTCACCTAACTTGTCCGCGTGGATCAGCTGAGCTCCTACTATAAGTGGGAGTGCCTTAGGATGGACGAGTTCACCTTGAGACGTATCAGTCGCCATTTAAAATAATTTCTAGGCCCGAGTACAGGTTACACTCTGAAGCCTCTGCTGTTTACCACAAGGATTTTTCCTAATGGTTTCAGTGTGGTGAAGAGTCAACCTAAAGCACAGAAAAGACCTGGTGTGAAGATTAACAAAGAAAACTAATCTAAAACGTCTAAGTTTAACACACATCCAAAGGGAAAAATATTTAACTATAAAACTTAAGGGACGGATGACTTGGTCAGTTATCATTCGGAAAGACAAAATGGCTATCAAAATAAGGACTACGTAAAGCGCGGCAAATGCACAAGCTGCAGCGGCTGTTGCACCTTCCACATGAGCAAAGGCAACAAGGACAAGAAAGCCCCTGAGGAACCTGAGCCCATCCCCTCCTGCTACCTTGAGGAGCCCAGAAAGGACAGAATAAGGAGACTAAGGAACAGTTTAGTTTGTTTACTCAAGATCAATTTACTAAAGAGAGAAGGTTTTGTTATTGTTCTCAAAGGAATCAGGAAAATTAAATATAACCTTAACACGCCACTGCCACTCGAGAATACAAGGACAAAAAAACCTCGAAGAACATGGCATCCTAAGAGCCTCTAGACCCAGAGCGGCAGAGCTAGACCATCCTAGGAGAACAGGGTGCTTCCTAAGACTCATTTGTCATTTTTTTATGTAAACAAACTAGCACAGAACAAAGGACATAAATATTCGAAGGTAAAATCCACTCACTCAAATTACCTGGTAATACTCCCTAAAAACCTCACCTGGGACTCAATGACATTTTATAATAAAAATCCATCAATGCAAGAAAATGAGTGGTAGCTAGTAGACATGAAGGAAGACTAGAGGAATGGTTAGTCTTTCAACTTGTACTTGAAGCTCTGAGCCTGCCAAGGAATTTACAAGCTTTACCTTGTCAGGTAATAGTCACAAGTTGCAACAACTGGGAAAAATCCAAACATTTATGGGGAAAATCTCTTTATGGGAACAGCAACAACAATGTCAAGATTTGGGAATTGTCAACAAGTTGCAAGGAAAGGCAACGGAGAGAATTAGAGATAGTGCAATGCAATAAAAGTTACTATCGAGCAAATCAGGAATCCCCAGAAATACTTTAAAATTATCATCAATGGTTATAAAAACTACCTAAAATGCCGATATAACAATTCACTTCAAAGAATTGTAAAACACAGAAGTAAAAACAGCTGTTTTTTGAAAAGTGAAAAGGCCAACTTTTAAATCACTATGTTTAGGTCTGTGAAATCTAAAAATCTATCCCAGTTATAATCTTAACATATAAATCTGCTCATTTATCCAATTAGCGCTTTCTTGGTAATATACTTCCTGTAATTGAAAAAATCCAAGCAAATTTGCTGGTATTTTTACATGTGAACATTCTACAGAAGTTTTTTTTTTTTTTTGGTAAAGTGATACTGCTAATTCATCTTTCTTAACCATGATAATACGTGCTAGGTTGAAAACACTACTGTGAAGTCAACATAATCTACAAGATTCCTTGGTCATGGGGTATCATACAAAAACACTTTCCCTGGGCCCTCCCTGGTGGCGCAACGGGTTGGGATGCAGCACTGCAAGCTAGCCAGTCACTTCGAGCGAGTTCAATTCCTGCCCCGGAGGTGACCCACCTGGCAGGGCAGACCTCTCCAGGCCCAACCTAAGCAGAGTACTTTCTCCGTCTGGCTGTTCTGCTCCCCACTGTCTCTGGTGAATCCTCTCACCGCCCCTGTACCTCAGTTCTGTATGAATAAATAAATCCTTAAAAATAAAAATAATCACCAGCTTTTCAAGTCAACTGTAATTCAAAACTAAAAGCAAGCTAAAAAGGGAGCAGCACAGCACAGAAAGCTACTTTAAAGCCAAAGTGATAAAACTGACAAAAACTAAAATGAGGGCAACAACAAGTACATGGTCCAAAAATACACGAGGCATCTTTAACCTAAGAAGAACGACAGTTTAAATCAGGCCACATAAAGGAGTGTGCCCAAACCAGAGTAACTGTGAAGCTGGTTGGTCTGCCAATGTCCCTACCCTGCATGGCCAGGACACCTGTAGATTATGTTGATGGACATCTGATCAGCATTTTCAGTCTAGTTCATGTTATCATGGTTAAGAACAATGACATCTGATAGTACTTACTACATTCAGTACATGTGAAGAATATTTAAAATTTAAAAACACTTCTGACATTCTCCTTAAACCTCCCAGTTCCACCCTCATTCACTAATCTCGCCTCCTACTGCTCTCCCAACTCCAAACACGGAGACGGTCTCAAAATACGTCTGCTTGCTTATTTATTATGTACCTCCCAAAGGGCTGTAAGCACTACAAGGGCCACCACCGTGTTCTCGGCATCAAAACCAATGTCTCATCCATAGTGGCTGCTGGATAAATAACGGGGAAAAATGTTGAATGAACACTGATAGTGCTTTTACATTCAGTATATGTGAAAAACACTTAAAAATGAGACCCTAGGTTATTTGGAATATGTTAAGCCAAGCTTTGCCTCAGCTCTGAATTTAGTAAAGGTTGTGGAACTTAAGGCTTCATATTTGGTTGAGTAGTGAGTTATTAAATAAGTTCACTGTTCGTTACAGAGTTAAAACCATATATAGTTATTTCATGCTGCCTTCGTGTCCCACTGCACCCATGTACTTTTTAGACCCCCACACTTACCCTGTTGTCAATTTTATCTAGTTGGTGACTGAGAACAGCACTGAAAACTGGGTGGGTACTCAATGAACATTTTTACTTGAGATCTTGTATGTGTTAAAACAAATAATCTGAGTGTACCTGTGGTTTATGTGGCCCCTGTGATCATCGGATTGTTTTTGTTTACTAAGCTTAATGTTAGATTTACAACGCAAAGATAGGCTTTTGTCAAATTGGTTTTAAGGGAGTTAAAAGGACTGTAGAGATAAAAAGTCCAGATAATTTATTTGTTGTATGTTAAGAGAAAACAATAGAAAAGTAAGTAGCTTTTAATAATGTATTTGAGTTTTGGGATATTCTTTACAATAGACATTTAAGGGAAAGTACTACTACTTCATGTTTTACCATAAAAGGTATGTAAGACGTTATCACTATATGCCACCAGCAAAGCTTAACTACACACATCAAATTGTTAACCTATCTGCAATCTTTCACTATGTTCACACTAAAAGGTCGTAGTCACAAAAAGCACGTTCATAAAACTCCTTCTCCCCCTTTCATACTCCACTAACTCGGTATGTATTTAACCCACGTCTATCTTGGGGCCAGAAGTGACAGACGTTACCCGGCTCGGGCCGAGATAACCTAAGCGGCTAACCGGTTGAAGATTCCCCTCTACACACGGAGAGCTCCGGTCCTGCCCTCAACCTTCCCAGCAGGCTTGAACACACAACTAAACAAAAAAAAACCCCTTTCAAACGTTCCTTGTACCTCGACAGACCTAACACTCAACTTTTCAAAGGTGCAATAAAAACTTTGAAGGCTCCTAACAGTGTTATGCCTACGCCAGATTAAACGAGATTAAAAGAGCTTCCAAAGTAAAACTGCTCATGTCAATGGCACCCTCCGGTGCTTTGCTCTCAAGGTCCCAGGTGAGCGCCTAGAAGCTTTTCTAACCGGACTCTGACTTCAAAGCCCCGTCAGGAAGCACCACACTGGGGCCGGCCGCGCCCGGCCCTCCGCCAGGTTAAGCGGCCGGCCCTCGGTCGCAGCGCTCAGAGCTGGGGCTCTCGCTTCACAACCCGCCTCCACCTCTCCACCAGGGTAACGTTCACAAGTTAGACTTTAGGAATCAAAAACCACATCGTCTGAGGTGCGGTGAGGAGCAAGCTCTAGGAACGCCACAGGGGAACAGAAAGCTCGCGGCCGCGCCGCAGCGGCAGCG